ATCACAATGGATGTTTCTCATCCACTTCTAAAGGCATGCTAACACACAAAGTTTTCCACATCTCATTGTCATATCCTCAAGAAATTTTGTTATCACAATTTGTAAGTAAATAAGTATTTAATGTTAACATTTGAGTTCTCACTGAGAACAATATTGGCAAATTGGCAAGACAGTTGTTCATTGTGAAGAACATTCAACATCTTTGGTGTTTGCCCACTAATTGTCAGTAGCAACCACACAAAGGTGAAAACCCCAAACAGGCCCACATGTTGCTAAACACCCTTCAGCTTAGTGGAGAGTATTTAGTTAAAGATCTCTTCTCCACTGTTTCATGACTGTATCATATATTTACACTGAGATTCAGATGACTGTTATTGCATTTTTTTCCTGTTTGACTTTTTTCTTTGGAGTTTCTTAATTCAGATGACTGTTATTGCATTTTTTTCCTGTTTGACTTTTTTCTTTGGAGTTTCTAATTGCCTATTTTATTTGTTTGGTTTCTTAGCACCTTTTATAACACATCTTAACTCCAAATGTATATAAAGTATCTCACCACAACATCAAACATGGAAAGGAGTAGCTTCTTTCTACTCATTTTCTGGAGACATTCCTCCTGCAGCCTGTTTTTCTCTGCTTTGAACTGATTAGCCAGGACTGTTGCAGAGATGGAATTCTGAGGCTTCCCTTCACCACCTGGTGACATGTTTGATAGCCTGACATTTAACTCAAATCGAAGTGACCCCTGCTGTTTAGTTGAATGGGAAATCATAAAGAACTTTAAGACAATTTTTGTTGATGTGTGTGTATGTGTGTGCATATGTGCATATGTTGTTGAGGATTGAACCCAGAGTCTTGCACATGCTAGAAAAGCACTCTACCACTGAGCTACATTCCCAGCCTAGAATTAAGGACAAATTAGATTATAACCAAGTTACATATCCACTGAATATCTGAAGACAGAGTGGGATTATGTGTAATATTGTTCCATATGTAAATAGGATGAAAAATTTTAATATGCATCTATATTTTTTCATATAATTTTGCCTTGATTGTAATCTTCATTCTCACTTTACATTTGGGGAGATTGGGGTGTGCTGGCTGGCACCCACTTTCCAATGTGACAATGTTCATCATTTTGTGAGTCTTATTTAAGGGAAAGATGGTACAGAAGAAATTTTTAGTCCAAAAACTTAAAATCCTTCAGATATGGGAGCCTGTAGAGGGTATGTGCAGACAGTGCAAGAGTCTATCGTGCTGTGAGGTCTGCTGCTGCATCCATCCCTGGGCATAGAGCTGCATTTGGAGTCTGGGAAAGATCAGCCCTGTACATGTTCACCTACCAGAGATGGGGAAACCTTCTGGAATTGGACTTAGTCTAAGGAAAAAATAGGATCATTCCTAGATGTGAACCAGTAACAAAGTCTTAGATGTCAGAGGGAAGTAGAAAATTGAGTAGCTTTTTCTGGACGTGTTTAAGAGGCTTGGTAGGAAAGTGAGGTTTGGAGAGAGTAGCAGTGAAATACAGACCTTACTCATGTGCCCTATCTTTGTACGGAAGCCAGTGGGGTCTGGAACATTCAGTCTGCAAACCACTCATTCCGTCTGATACAAACACACACACACACACACACACACACACACACACACACACACCACAAAAATAACGCACTTTGTCCTATGTTCGTCTTAGGTTTATAGAACTTCATGTTTATTCTAATGACAACATACTTTGGAAAGTGGACCCTGTCCTATGCTTTCTGTGATAAGACATGTTGGGTCTAAACCAGACATGATGAACTCATTTTTCTGTGTTCATAATTGGTTTAGTGCAGTATCTGATTCATGAATTGGCTTATGATAAGTGAATTTGTTTGTTTATTGTGCTGATATGGGGGCTTGAATGCAGGACCTGAGCACTGTCCCTGAGATCTTTGCTCAAGGCTGGACTGTACCACTTGAGCCACAGCTCTACTTGCAGCTCTTTGGTGGTCAATTGTACTTTCTTGCTTGGGCTGTCTTTGAACCAAGATCATCAAATCTCAGCCTCCTGAGTAGCTGGGATTACAGACATGAGCCACCAGTGCCTGATTATAGCAGCTTTTCTGTGAGAGTGAGACAGCAAGTCAGAAAAAGATGGAATTACTGTACCTACCTTACCAGGGAGGAGGAGGAGACAGGAGACTCCATCTGTCATCTGCTCACCTTTAGGACCCAGGCTTCTTAAAAACTATCACAATGATGGGAACATTAGGGAAGTTCAGCAAAGCAGAAAAAACAACACATGAGTCTTTTATTCCAGTTCTAAGTGCTGAACTTCAGAAATGAATTGCTTTCCTCCCTCCTCCTCCCCCTTCCTGACCATCTGGATGCCACTGGGATACTACTCCGATAGCTAAGGCCAAATGGGCTGGGAAAATAGAAGGTATGGGTGTTAGCAATCTGGAAGAAGCCTAGAGAGGGTCAGTTGGATCTACATGAGTCTCTAGGATGCTAGCCCCAACTTCCCTAAATGTTCCCATCATTGTGATAGTTTTTAAGGAGCCTAGGCTCTATAGGTGAACAGATGACAGATAGACTCACTTGCCTCCTCCTTCCCCCTGTGAGGTAGATAGTGTTATTCCATCTTATGAATAAGAAACTGACTTTAGAAATATTTGCTTGCCTACGGCCAACATCAGATCTGGGAATCCAGCCTTGGTTCTCTGCTATGAAAACCTGGGCTGGATGTATGGCACCCCATTGCTTTCAAGACTAAACATCATGACTCCCTCCAGACTCCCCTCTCCCCTTTGTGTTCCCTGTCGTCATTACTGACACCCCCCTGAGTCCCATGAGTCCTCTTTATTCTGATATTTGAGAACTGGGGTCAATGGAGTCAGGAACACTCAGTTTCACATAGACTTTTTGAGAGGGGAGGGGAAGTGGGGAAGTCAGGGGCACTAGGCTAGGTGGATGCTGGAGTGGAGACAGCAGAGAGGAAGGAAACTCTGCTGGTGGGTGACATGGTACTCAAGAGACTAGTGTAGACAGGGAGACTAAGAGACTCCTACTTAGTTAATTCATAGAAGGCTTCCTAAAGAAGGCTGGGCTCTGAAAAAGGGAAATGGAGATTCTGGGCACAGAAAATGTTGGAACTGAGCCCAAGGCCCAGGGCTCAGTGTGCAAGAACCAGTTGGCCTTCTGCTAACTCTCCATTTGCTTCTCACAGATAATGCCTTGCTCAGAGATCTCTGGGGCTGGCACCCAACACCTCATGCAGAACCACCTAACCTCTGTCCTGGTGGCCAAAGATTTGACAGTTCCTGCAGGCCTCCTTTTCCCTCTTCTCCTTGGCAAGCCCCTCCCCTATTTCTGCTCTCCATAGCTCCACCCTATACCTGCTCACAAATCACCTGCTCCCCCCCCCCCAAGTCTTGCCCATTCTGCAAAAGTCACTACCCCAGGTAGCCTCCTCCTCTCACTCCAAGAAAGCCCTTGTGGACAAGTTACCTGGTCTCTCTGAGGTCCCAGTTTGTTACCTGTTAGGCAGCAGAGGTCTAGGTCAAATATTATGGGAACACAGCAGATAGACCTCTGTTATCATTTTTATATTATTGGGGTGGAGTGGTACTAAGAATTTGACTCAGGAGATACAACTTGACTCACACCCTCAAAACATTTTTTAACAAGGCTTTCCCCCCCCCTTAAGTCATAGAAATAATATGCTTCATGGAGATATAGAAAAATAGTCCCTAAAATAACTCCAGGCAGCTAGAACCTCTGCTGAGTGTTCTGAAGGTTTTGCTGCCTTGTTATGAGCTTCATGCCTGGTGTGGGGGGGCGGGTAGGGTTGCTATTTTGACGACCACAAGACATAATTTCTGCACCATACCATCCATCCTTTTTAAAATGTTCAACGATTCTATTTGCATAGTCACAGAACTGTTGCAAACATCCCATTTGGCATACCTTTCACTATTCCTAAAAACTTGAGCCCTTACTGGGTGTTTGGGTTTTTTTGGTTCAACATTGTTTCCAACCATTTCTTCCTGTTGCCCATTAGTCCCCTCCACCCGCCTGTTTGGTGCCAGAGGCACCGCCAGGTGTGATCTAGAGGGCTGGTGCTGGTGAGGATGGCAGAAGCCCGCGGAGCAGCGAGGCCCTAGGAGGGAGGATTGGGAAAAGGAGGGACGAGTGGCTTTGGCCAGAGCTGGGGGACGTGGGGGTTGAGTCCCAGCGCAGGTGCGGGGAGGGCTGGGGAGGAGCCTGGCTTTGGGAGCACTGGGCTGTCCTAGCAAGCCGCACAGTGGGCAAATACAACGCTATAGGGCTGGGAGCCCTGGAGGGCTCGAGCGGGTCCTGAGGTC